GGGTTAGAAGGGACCTCTGTGGGTCATCTAGTCCAACCCTCCTGCCCAAGCAGGGTCACCTACAGCAGGCTGCACAGGACCTTGTCCAGGCGGGTCTTGAATATCTCCAGAGAAGGAGACTCCACAACCTCCCTGGGCAGCCTGTTCCAGTGCTCTGTCACCCTCAGAGGGAAGAAGTTCTTCCTCATGTTCAGACGGAACTTCCTGTGCTTCAGTTTGTGCCCATTGCCCCTTGTCCTGTTGCTGGGCACCACTGAAAAGAGCTTGGCCTCATCCTCCTGACACCCACCCTTCAGATATTTGTAGGCATTTATAAGGTCCCCTCGCAGCCTTCTCTTCTTCAGGCTGAACAAGCCCAGTTCCCTCAACCTCTCCTCGTAGTGGAGATGCTCCAGTCCCCTCACCATCCTTGTAGCCCTCCGCTGGACTCTCTCCAGTAGCTCTTCATCCTTCTTGAACTGGGGAGCCCAGAACTGGACAGAGTACTCCAGATGAGGCCTCACCAGGGCAGTGTAGAGGGGAAGGAGAACCTCCCTTGTCCTGCTGGCCACACTCTTCTTGATGCACCCCAGGATCCCATTGGCCTTCTTGGCATCCAGGGCACACTGCTGGCTCATGGTTAACCTGTCGTCCACTAGGACACCCAGGTCCCTCTCCGCAGAGCTGCTCTCCAGCAGGTCCACCCCAAGCCTATACTGATGCATGGGGTTGTTCCTCCCCAGGCGCAGGACCCTGCATTTGCCTTTGTTGAACCTCATCAGGTTCCTCTCTGCCCCACTTTCCAGCCTGTCCAGGTCACGCTGAATGGCAGCACAGCTTTCCGGTGTATCTACCACACCTCCCAGTTTGGTGTCATCAGAAAACTTGCTGAGGGTACATTCTCACTCTTCATCCAGGATTTCAACACAGAAATCCGTGTTATAGTACCAAAACTTTAGCAATTACTTCAACAGAAACAGCAGGGAATTTGAAAAAACACCAACAAATGTCCTAATAGAGTCAAGGGTGAATATATAGAAATTCTTTGTGACTCTCCAGGTATTTACTTTTATTTTTATCTATATTTGTCTTCTTGATTTTTAAATGATATGTCAGGTGTAGGGCCAAGTATTGCTATCTGAACTAGCTCCAGTGCAGGAGGAGGTATATATGCATTAGGTGAGGAAGTATCATGCAAAAATTATCATACTACTACAGAAATGCAACTCAGTTCTTCCAGGCTAATGCATGTATTTCCACATACTGGTGCACTGTGAAAGGCAGACATTGTCGGAGTGCCTGGAAAGACTGGGTGAAGGCACCTGCCAGAGAGACGTGTAGAGCAGGAGAAATTTTATAGCAGAATGAACCAAATGGAAATGATAAGTGAAGCAAAAGTTCTTGTTCCTCACAAATCCATCAGATGAGGGAAAGCGTAACTTTTGAGCGGGGGGTCACTTTACTTGAAGCTTCTGACAATAACTACAATGCTGCAATTTGCTGGGAGTCTCCCTTTTTACTAATAGCAAAAGAGGTTCACTCCATTGTGGCAACACAGAGGTCGAGAGCAAGTATGCTGGGTCAGTGCACTCGAGTCTGCAGAAAGGTGGAGGGCTCACAAAACTCAGCCGATCTGCGGACTCTCTCCTTCATACAGTCACAGCCACAATGCGTGTTCTTCTGCACCCATCAGACAGAGCGAAGCTGTGGACATAGATTTTCCAAGAACCCTTGCTCCTGCAGTATGGCTGTGATTTAAATGCCTTCCTGGCAATTAGCAATTTACTTTGGTGTCTCTGATGAGTGCTGTTGGAAAAAAAGATAGAGGAGGATCTCTGAGCAAATGTTTTCTTATGGCAGTTTTCTATATATATGTGGTTGACACTTAATGGAAATAAATGTCTTGGCCAATTGTGATATGAGTTATTATTCCAGTCTGTCATTGGAATGAATCTTCCTTTTCTGATCTTTTCCCAAATGACTGTGCGTCAGGTAACTGTTTTTCACTTGAAAGCAACAATTAGTTTAACTGTGAGGGGATGTAATTCTTGCCTTGTGCAATACTCAGGTGATCAGTTTTGATGCAACTTAACACTGAAATGAAATCATAGGTGAAACCTCTTCTAGTTGAAATCTGCAATAGTGGACTGGGGAAGAAATGGGAGTTTTAATGAACAGATAGGTCCTCCCTTTTGAGAGCACAAGCCAGATGAATGCAGTCCGATTCTAAAGGTCCAAGAGTCCAACTGGCTGATTTTCCTTCCCTTCTTTGAAATCTGAATTTGGAATTAAATGCAGGTGATCCCTGTGAACATTAATAGGAAATCACATTTGGGTGATTATGAGTCCAGTTTTAAATCAGGACACAGTGTTTAAAACATTGAAAAGTGCAGATGTGATATGTTCTCCTCTTAGAAAGGCTAATGATTAGGACAGATTGAGAGTGTTACTGATCTCTTCAACGTCAAAGACGAGTGGATATTAGAACTGCTAAAACAGTTAAATAGCACAGTTTTCTGCTATTTTGTAGTAGTGTCTCCTAAAAATATTACCATGCCACCCCCATCCCAAATTAATGCTGCTAAAGCCAGTGATGTAGTGTGCTCACACCTTAAGGTAGCACTGTGATTCATGTTTTAATGATAGTGGCTGCTGGCTGTAACTATGGAATGTATTGTCATGGAAACTACACTTTTCTATATTTACACCAGTGCTGGTTATGCGAGAGACAGTACTTGAAAGAAAATCTGTATAATATATAGCTTAATAATGAGACAGGCAAGATACGAATAAACAGATCAAAGATTCAGAAATGTTACGGCTGCTGTTTGTCACCATAGTATGTTTCTAAACAGGCTCAGTCACTGCTTCAGATGATAACTAGCACAGCAAATCAGGAAGGAGGGCTGCCGCGATGTCACTTTGGACTAACAGGTCAGACAAACATAGATTATTGATAGCAGATTGATTCGCATCCATGTAGTGAACTCCCATGACATAATGAAACATATAACGCTCACGTCCAGGCTGTTAGGCAAAAAGTATGAGCTGAGTGAATTGAGGACACTGCATTGTAAGAGTCTGTTATTTGCGAGAAATAAGTCTTTCAGAAATGGAACTGGGTTGTAACGCTAACTGTGTTCTATCTGTCACTTCAATCTAGAAACTACTGTCATTTTACTGAGCTTGGGCTCTTTCAAGTTCTATGTTCAAAAATACAGAGCGAAAAACAACGATCAGAAAATATTATACCAGTTGAAATTTAGCTACACAAAAAATTGGATAAAAATAAAGTTATTTTATGGTGCAAAAGAAAGAGTAGCTTCAAAGCTGTTTAAAAGAATGTTTCTTTTATGCTTTTAAACTTTACAAAGTCAGGGTAAGTTATACTGAAGAAATTCTACTTAAAATTTTGATATATACATACATGCAATGCACACACACATATACATTCATATAAATATAAAATGTTTATAGAGGAGGTCTCCTACATTAGGGTCTGCAGTCTCAGGCAGATCTTTTTAAAAATTCTGTACCATTCACCCTCGATACTGCTTGCCCTGGCTGCACACAGAGAGCTCCATTAGCCATTTTGTCCATTCTGTTGTATAACAAATTTGTCGTTCAGTTTTATTACAAAAAATTGTTTCTGTTGTGCCTTGAGAACGCACTTGCGATTACCAGGGAGACAAGCTGCTCTCATTTCTTTAGAAAGAGTTTCTAATTTGATGGGCAGAGCTTAGGGAGTCACAAAAAGCAGGGTCGAGTCACTGTGAAACAACTGCTGGGTTTACCTCGCTATCAGCTGTGAAATTGCTGAAGACATCGCTTTACTTTCTGTATCGCAGACTTTTCAATTTATATTTGTCTATCGGCCATGACCAAACCTAAAACTGGAGGATAAATTCATCCAACTTCTGATATAAATAATCCTCTTAAAAAGCACAGCTAGCAGTTTGCTGGTCCAAGTGCTTTATTATGCATTTTCAGCTGGCGTTGCTTGAACTGAAGGAGCAGCGACAGCTGTAACTGAATCCAAACCAGCGCTATGCTCCCAAACTTCTTTAATTATTGCATTTCTGGAATCCAGCAAGCCGTTTGCAGGTTATAGGACAGCAGTACTAGCTGGAGTCAGTAGTTACACTGCCTGAAAAGCAGAGTTGAGAGGGTTGCTTTTTAAGCTCCGTGCTGGTGCATTTTCCGGGTAACTTCATATCTCTATTCAGTGTCTCCTGCAATCCTTCAACCTGTCTATTTGTAAATTTGTGCCTGGAGAAAGCTCCCATGTGGCAAGCCAGGATTGGATAAATGTTGCTTGTATTTCTCTGATTGCAAACTCCCAGTGTCTGGGATTTTCAGCTTTGAGTACAGTTTGTTTCATGCTGAGATTCATCTTTTTGGGGAAAGTAAAGGTCATCGCTTCTCCGGAGTTGCGACTGATTTGATTCTTTTTCTCGGGGAGGCGCTGGGAAGGGAATCCTTACTGGAATGCATATTGATAAAGGCTGAGGATTCTGGCTTCTTAGATAAGTAATTCTTTTTTCCTCTTCTCTCCCCACAATGACTATGTATTGCAGCAACTCACTGGCTTTTTACCAAATCAGGAGCTGCAGTATTTTTCTTCCGATGGAATAATTTCAGCCCACTTCAGCTAGCATGACAATCTTATGTGATTGTTATGAGTAGGCGTTTACATCCTTTTACATGCTAATACTGCCACACCTGCTAGTCCCCCTCATTTCCATTTCTCTCTTTTTTTTTCTTTTTTTTTTTTCCCCCCAATGTGAGAACTAATTTCCCAGAGGAAGGGAAATCCTGAGATTCGTGATCAATGCTGCATCGTTGATTCATCAACAAAGAAGGGGATGGCTGAATGGGACACAGGTAGAGATTCAAGCAGGCTGCTTCTGACCGGCAAGAGAAAAGCTAGCTGTTGAGCAGCGTATGTTGCCACTCCATGTGCTGTATTAGCTACTTGTTTTTAGCCTTCAGTAGGCTGCCACTACTGCAGCACTAAAGGAATGTGCCCTATTGTTAGAAATCCTGACTGCTTTACACCAATGATTTGCCACTGCAAAGTTGCATGCACCAACAACACTTTATCGTTGATGTTTGGATGCAAGGTAGGATGTGGTTAATGTATTTAAATGCATGCTGTAACTCCTTTGAATATCTGTGCTATTTAATTTCATGTCTGACTAGAGATCTCAGTGAAAACTGTGATACGTTGGCTATTAATTAGGGCTTACAGCCGATAACGTTTTAAATGTTAGGAAAAAAATCAAAAGTAAAGCTTTCTTATTTCCCAGGGTTGTACGACTATAGATTTACATAGGAGAATCTAACGGATTATGAAGCATTTGTTTTAGAGTTGATTGTATACTTAGCTAACAGTGCTAAGATTATTAAACCACTACTTTACCATTTGCCCGGCTTTATTGATTTTGATGTGTATACTGTTCTTACAAAAACACAAACTAGCGAGAATGATTATATTTTTTCTGTTTATATTGCTGGCATGGCTTTTAAGAATAAGAGCAATACTAAAGTATACAAAGTATACAGCCCTGCACTTCTCTCTAAGAAATAAACAAAGTAAACCCCTGAACCCATTTTTAAGTCTACAGGAATATTTTTAAATAAGCATTTGCTTCTAGGGACTGGACAATCATTTAATTTGTCTTTTAAATTTAAATCAAAAGGTGGCGTAGTTAGCCAGAGAAGTTTCTTTTCTGGCTGTGTAATGCAATCCCACCCCAATTTTTTTAATAAAGGTGTTGGACTGGACTATATTTTTCCCTGTATACCTCCTGACTTGACATTAGACTATAACCAAAGTTGTTTGTTATTTTACTGAAATAATTCAAAAGTGATGGCATGTTTTTAAAACTTATTATATTTGGGTAAACAAGTTTGGTTCTTGGATCACTGGGTCAATCATGATGGTTTTACAGGGGGGTTACAGATTTTGTCCTATACCTTTTCCTTGCTATCCTTAAATAGTGGTTGATATTAAAACTCTTCCTCTGTGATTAAAAAGAGTAGGAAATGAGCAGTTGCATAAAAAATGATCGTGATAGTAATTATTTTTAAGTCGTCTATGTAACTTTCTTAATCCTCAAACATGGCTAAGCTACTGAAATAAAATTTTAGCTGTACAGTCCACAAACTAGGGAACACAGTTGAGTTCCTGTGTGACAGACTAGCCTAAATAAAATGAAATAACTTCGTGAAATAGGTTATAGATGACCCAATGCTCCCTAAACGTAATTCAGCTAGAAGTTAATGACAGATCACCTACTGCTTCGTATAACATACTTAAATTAGGTTACAGTCAAACATTTGCAATTTATTTGTCTGCCTTCTCCTTTTCCGCAAACTATGGTCTGCCCACATCTCTGGTTACTGGAGACTTTCTTGAACTAAAGTTTCTTGTTTCTTCACTTTCATTTTAAATAGGCAAAAATAAGTTCTATTAGCGAAAGGGTTATAATTCAATTGCTGTGTCATGATGCCACTAGTGTTATAAATAGCGTCAAGAGTTTAACAGTTTAGAAGCTTTTTTAATTTGCATCTTTTTCATAAGGACAATTCAGATTTCTGTTTTATACTAGCTTTAGAAACTTCAACCCTCTTGTTTTCAAGTGTTAAATTCTAATTAATAAAGGTGAATTGTTAGTCAGGGGAAATTAATGCAAGCCACCTTCTACAAAGGTAGGCCAGTGGCCTAGGGACTAGTATCCAATTTGTATTCCTGCCTGTAAGCATGATTTTCAAAGGATATTCTTTGATGCACTTAAGTTCTTTCATAATTTTCAGATCCTGTTAGGATGAAGCAGTAGAATAAAAATCACAAATTTCAGACTTTTTTTCCTCCTCTTTCTTTAGCGCTTCAGGCTCATTAAGTTAGTCACAGTCAATGTTTTATCTTCTCGTGGTGGTGTATGAACTACTTCTCAAATGAAAAGTGGATATGTGGGATAGTGATCATTTTCAGAAAGATGAGAAGGAGCACGAGCGAACTGAGTTATCTTGGGTTGGTTCAACACATGTCAGATTAGTACCCTTTGATACCACCATCAAGTAAACGTGAGATATTTCCTATACATACCAGTGTACCACCTCACTTCAAGCATCTTTTTCTCACTTCCTTTTGTTCTGCAGCCCATAGTTAAAGACACAACTTTTTGCTTTGGACACATAGGGTTACAGTTCTAGATTTATGGGTGAAGATCAATTGTTAACAATAAAGAAGTTTGAACAGGAAGTAAGGATGCTTCTTTTTAGAAAATGTTATAGTTACATGGCATGAAATCATGGATCTAAGCATGCTCATAATATTATGACTTCTACAATCACGTGGTTCTTGAACTAGGGAAGGAGAGTGATGTACTGGAATGACACTTTATATTCTGAGTGGCAGAGGAGAAAATGGGTCCTCAGAATAGAAAGAAAGTTTTAAAATATAGACAGCGGGATAGACAACAGAAGAGTTTGAAGATCAGGTGAGTATCTCCAAATGATGAAATAAGCAGGTCAGCTTACTGACTAGCTCCTTTCAAAAGGACAGTGCAAGTTACAGGAATGCAATATCGCTAACACTCTTAATTTACAGTTTTTTCTTTTAATTTTCTGCCAAATACAGTCTTATTTTCCTATGAGCATGGAAGTGAGTGAGAGAAATGCACCACACCAGAACCATCACACCCATTTTTGTCTGTTCCAAATGCAATAATTTTACAGCCTGCTGAATCCTAACAGGTGGTGCCAGGGAGTTAATTTGAGGGGGGCAGGAAAAGGGTGTGCATGTCTTACTACGCCATATGTTGCAAAGAAGGCAGTGGAGGAGTCTTCACTGCGCCTGCGGGGAGCTTTCTTTTTCATATTGATTTCCTGGACTTTGCTAGTTGACCTTGTCCTGGACTTTTATGTTCAATAATGCCCATTTTCATGATCCTTGACGAAATTGCAAAGAATTCAGAGCATTTTAATTTGAAAGGCAGGGTGGTGTCTACCTGAAGTGCCACTATTGCAACCAACTTGAACATATTTCAACATTTCTTCCATTTCTGGTAGAGAAGTGCCAGTGTTTCCATTACAGCGCTAGAGAGCTAAAGCAGAGTGGGGGGAAGCAGTTTTTAAAATATGGCACTCAGGTGCCAGCAGGTGTTTTGCAGAACTTTCTTGTCCATAATCCTGCAGGGCTGGGACGTGAACACAAATCCCCTGAGCCCTAGAGTTTCTCCACAGCTACTGGACAGATTAGTGTCTGTGGATTAAAGGAGGGCTTGTGTGTAAGACAGACCTGCCTTCACAGATCTCCGTCGAGACAAGTGCCAAGGCATATATCAGAATCTCACTGAAGATGATGAGACCTCAATGCACGCTTAAATGTCAGTATATGCTTACTCACTTTGCTGAACTGAGCCCTGTAGTAGTTCATTCAGTATTACAGAAGAGTTATCTCCTGACTCTTAATATCCTGTTCATTTTACTCTTATTGGGAGTGCCAGGAAGGGATTGCAGATTGACTGAGATGTTTCTTAAATTACATTTCAGCCATAAGTCTGACACTCACATGGAAGTGTTTTTTTGTCTTATCTCGTTTACCTCTACATATTGAAAGTAGATATTGAGCAGATTCCATTGAAAGATGAGTGACTTCCCTGTTTGTTGACCTTGACCAGATATTTTGATAAATCCTACTTTCCTTTTGATTTAGGTTTATTTTTGTATTTGTCTTATCATATTTTAAAAGTTTCTTTAAAAGGAATAAAATATATCTCCCTCTCTTCCCTGTCTTCTTTCTTTCCTCCTAGCACATTTATCACAACCAGTCCTCTGGCATGGTAGCTGATTTTGGTATTTTTTTCCCTACTCTTTCTCTGGTTTAGCTGAAATAGCCTAATAGTGACCTATTCCACTGTCCAAGGTGAGCATGAAAGTAAAACCTCTTGTTTCTTCAGCTGCCAAAACTTCTATGTTTTGCAAAACTGTTGCAGTACAGAAGGTTTTATGATTGAAGCAAATAGTAGGGGGTATTACTGAATGTCTTGACATTCATATTTATTACTTTTATCATGATCAAATTACTAGAAAACTACTAGTTTTCTGTACTGACATTATTAGTCTCTTGAACAAACTCTGGTATGTCAGTTCTTAATTGAGAATAGTGTCTATATTGTCATAGTGTAGACGTGATTGTTGTAAGAAACAGTAATCTGAGACGACAGGAAAATGTTTCGCTGAATACGATACACAGTAGATCATGCTCAAAGCCTTGCATGTTTTAGTTTCATGATGCATCTCCGTGAACTCAAGTCAGATTTTATATTTCGTGAGATGGTCTGAGGAGGTTTCTGGATGTAACTAGACAGAATATTTATTCTAATTATAAATGAGATTTTGAAATTATTCTCCCAACCCTACCCATGTGTGCAGCTTTGCTTTGCATTACAGAGTAGGCTTGGAGTGTGCAAATGGGATGCCTTTTTCATGAAACTAAACAGAAAGATGCACTCCAGGAACACACCAAGAACTCTGCAAAATCTTATGGGTATTCAGTTTATAAAAACAGGTTAGCACTATTTCAAAGTTAAACACAAAACACGTGTAACACTGTGGTTGAGTCCTTCTTACCAGCTCTTGATTCTGTGGATCCCCTCCTGCTGCTTGCTGATGTGGACATTACCTCTGACTCCACTGACGTACTTCAGTTCTGATTTTTTGGGAGCCAGAACTGGACAGATGTAATATTACAATGTATTCATGGTTTTTACAACTTCTGTGATCCATCTATAGAGACTAATATATTGTATAGGGTTCCAGAACTCTCTGAGTTTACTGCCTATTGATAGACAATCAGTGGAGCAAGTCAGCTGGAACGTTACGGCCACTTGCTATGCACAACATTTGACAGTGGCACTGAGAAACCTACTTCCACATATTATTCTTGTTAGGCCACTGTAGTGTTAAAATAACAATGCTCAGCAATAGAAGGAGCTGCAGAAGAGCTGTAGGATTGCCCCTGGCAAGAGGTTCTGAGTATGATCAGTTGTGTCACAGAGGATTTGTGCACTAGTGTACAGCGCTTAAGGCAGGGAGAGGTTCCTTCTCTGGCATA